AGTCATCTTTAGCCTCTTCCATTTTCTAACAATTGCTCCAACAGTTGATCTATTTTCACCAAGCTGCTTGGCAATTGCCTTGCGGAGGTCCACAATTTTGTCTCTGGTGTCCTTTTGACAGCTCTTTGGTCTTGCCCATGGTAGTAGTTGGCGTCTGACTGACTGTGGGGTGGACAGGTGTCTTTAAAGAGCTCAGACAGGTGCTACTAAGTTAATTAATTAATGAGTGGAGTAGAGGTGGACTTTTTAAATGCACAGTAACAGGTCTTTGAGAGCCAGAATCCTTGCTGTTTCTTAGGTGATCAAATACTTATGTTCAGCAGTGCAAGACAAATAAATTCTTTAAAAATCATACAATGTGATTTCCTGAATTTTCTTTTTAAATTCTGTCTCTCAGAGTGGGAATGCACCTGCAATGTGAATTTCAGACCCCTCCATGATTTCTAACTGGGAGAACTTAAAAATCGCAGGGTGTTCAAATACTTTTGTTCCTCACTGTATATATATGATTTTGAATGTTTGCCCACTCACAAAGAAATGATCAGTTTAAAATGGAATGGTAGGTGTATTGTAACACAGAGACAGAATAACAACAAAAAATTCAAAAGAAATGCATGTCTAACAAATTATGCACTAATATGCATGTTCATGAGGGAAATAAGTATTTGATCCCCTTCACAAAACATAACTTAGTATTTGATGGCAAATCATTTGTTGGCAATCACAGAGGTCAGACGTTTCCTGTAGTTGGCCACCAGGTTTGCACACATCTCAGGAGGGATTTTGGCCCACTCCTCTTGGCAGATCCTCTCCAAGTCATTAAGGTTTGGTGGCTGACGTTTGGCAACTCGAACTTTTAGCTCCCTCCACAGATTTTCAATCAAATTAAGGTCTGGAGACTGACTAGGCCACTCCAGGACCTTAATCTGCTTCTTCTTGAACCACTCCTTTGTTGCCTTGGCCATGTGTTTTGGGTCATTGTCATGCTGGAACACCCATCCACGACCCATTTTCAATGCCCTGGCTGAGGGAAGAAGATTCTCACCCAAGATTTGACGGTAGATTGCCCCAGCCATTGTCCCTTTGATGCAGTGCAGTTGTCCTGTCCCCTTAGCAAAAAAAACACCCCCAAAGCAGAATGTTTCCACCACCATGTTTGACAGTTGGGATGGTGCTCTTGGGGTCATAGTCAGCATTCCTCCTCCTCCAAACACGGCGAGTTTAGGCCAAAGAGCTTGATTTTGGTCTCACCTGACCACAACACTTTCAACCAGTCCCCCTCTGTATCATTCAGTTGTTCAGTGGCAAACTTCAGACGGGCCTGGACATGTGCTTTCTTGAGCAGAGGGACCTTGTGGGCACTGCAGGATTTCAATCCTTGTCGGCATACTGTGTTACCAATTGTTTTCTTGGTGACTGTGGTCCCAGCTGCCTGGAGATCATTGACAAGATCCTCACGTGTAGTTCTGGGATGAATCCTCAATGTTCTCATGATCACTCACACTCCACGAGGTGAGATCTTGCATGGTGCACCAGACCAAGGGAGACTGCTTTGTGTTTCTTCCATTTGCGAATGATTGCACCAACTGTTGTCACCTTCTCACCAAGCTGCTTGGCGATAGTTTGGTAGCCCAGTCCAGCCTTGTGTAGGTCTACAATCTTGTCCCTGACATCCTTGGACAGCTCTTTGGTCTTTGCCATGGTGGAGAGTTTGGAATCTGATTGTTTGATTGCTCCTGTGGACAGGTGTCTTTTATACAGGTAACAAAATGAGATTAGCAGCACTCCCTTTAAGAGACTGCTTCTAATCTCAGCTGGTTACCTGTATGAAAGATACCTGTTAGCCAGAAATCCTGCTGAATGATAGGGGATCAAATACGTATTTCCCTCATGAACATACAAATCAGTGCATAATTTGTTGTTAGACATGCATTTATTTTGAATTTTTTGTTGCTATTCTGTCTCTCAGTGTTACAATACACCTACCATTCAATTTTTAGACTGATCATTTCTTTGTGCCTGGGCAAATATTCAAGATCAGCAGGGGATCAAATACTTATATTACACATATATACACACACACACACATTTTATATAAATCTGTGTGTGTGTGCGCGTGTGTGTAAAAAAACATTAAAAGATAAATAACAAAAAGGCACACAAATATATTTAGGGGATATAGGGGAGGGGTTTGGGTGGTGTGATTGGGATTTTTTTTAAATATATTCTGATTGTACTGTAAGTAATCAATCAGTAAAACCGTTCAAAGGCTTTTTTTCATGATGCCTTTGTTTACTACAGTGATTGATCACAGCTATCACATGGTACAAGGCCACTGTGACTGGCCCTGATACTAAGTGATCGCTGTGACCAATCACAGAGATCATACATAAATGACAGCTATTGTTTACTACTGTAACTGTGATCTGGTGGACACAATGGTCACAGATCGTGCCTCTGCCTGCTCCTGTGAGCATGCACAAGCAGCCAATGCAGAAAGACATACCGGTATCTCCTGCTGCATTGGCGCCGCTTCCGTCCAGCCAATGTAGATAAACAGCCAGACAGAAGCAGCACCAATGCAGATGGACATACCAGTACATCTCCCTGCATTGGCTGCTCGTGCACGCTCACAGGAGTGAGCAACAGCATGCTATGTGACCACTGTTTCCACAGAATTACAGTTAACAGTGGTATGGTGGACATAGTGGATACAGATTGCATTGCTGCACGCTCCTGTGAATGTGCACAAGCAGCCAATGCAAGAAGATGGACCTGTATATCCACCCCCATTGGCACTGCTCTTGTCTGGCCATTTGTCTTCATTGGTCAGATGGGAGGTGGTTAAAGATGATGTTCAGTAAAAATAAGAATGCTTGCCGATAGTGGAAAAACAAATACCGACTCAGTAATAATTCACAAACAACAATTGTAAGCCTTTGGTCTGCATTAGAAAACTAAAGAGTACATACATCACTGAATTCTAAAAATGTGTAAATTACAGTTCTCTGTAAAGGCTACCCCCACTTCTTGTTCACCAGCTGGAGCCCTAAAGTTCAGCAGGGACAAGCCAAATTTAGATCCATGTATGGCCACTGAGGTTGAACATAAGTTGATCTACTGATTGACTTTTGTTAAAGTGCGCTGTCGGATTTTAGACGTTTAGTCAGTGCTGCAGGCAACAGCCTGCAGCTTGGATGGGCTACCCAATACTATTGCCAGATCTCAACCTGTTCAAGTTATCATAGGAAGAGCTTCATTGTAAGGTAAAAAAAAAAAAAAACTGCCCTAGAAGTCAAGCTGCACCTCCAGAAAGAGCTGTTTTCTTTAAATCTACAGAAAAATTATATGAAAAAAGAAAGTTGTGACATTGTCAATCTATTGATTAGAATTTATGATCAAATTAATGCCATTTTGATGTATAAAGCTACAAAATGCTATTAAAAACAAACATTTCTGTGTGCTTCTAAACTTATGAAGGCTAATGCACATCAACTGCCTGCTTTGTGTTTTTAATGCTTATACCTTTAAAACTAATACAATTACACATAGTAGTGTTTTTACATGACTGATCATTTAAGTCACTGCAAACCAAACTGAGACAATGCACAAGCCCTGAAAAGTAAATTACATTTCGAAATGAATTTGTGTATAATATTTCCAAGAAGTGAAACTGGAAAGGTTGCTATTTGCAACAAATCCAGTGTTATTCCTATTCGTTTTCATGTATCAGCTCCAATGTAACGCCACAAAAATATGTAAAATCTTATTTTCTGAAAAATCTTTTCGTGTCAACGCCAAAGTACAAGGAAATGGTGGATATACTAAACAGTAAGTCATTTTGACTGTCAATACATACAAGCATATATTAAATTTACAAACAGGGGTTGGACAAAAAATGGAAGTGCTACATGATTTGCAGTTGTGAAAGTGACATGTTTCACGTTGAAATCAGTAGTGATGCGACAATCTTTTGCGAACGCTGTGTTATGAGACACCTAGCTAACAGGTTAGAAGCCTCACTTTCGTCATTCACTGCATCCGCTGCTAATAACACAGTCATGTCAGAGCTTAATGAGCTTCAATGAGGGCAAATTGTTGCTGCCGTCTTAGCTGGTGCCTCTGTGACTGAAGTTGCCAATTTATTTGCCATGTCGCAAGGTACAGTATCAAAGGTTATATTGGCATACCTAAAACTGATACCTTTTCAGTGCGATTTGAGCCCATACAAAATGACTAGGCTTAAATCACACTGCAAAGAATCGCATGTGCCTTCAACAGGAATGCGATGCAATTGTCATAGTGACTTTAACCTGGGTTCACACAGGAGCGGTACAGGAAACCGCTTGTGATGTGGAGAGGAGTCGCACCGCATTATGTATGGGCTCAAATCGCACTGTACAGGCATTATAAATACTGTATAATAATAATAATTGGTACCTGGTATCAGCGAGTAGCTGAGCACAATTATTGGTACTCGTGCTCGTTGGTTAAAAAAAACAGGTATCGATGCATCCCTATATGCCGTCAAACTTTGATACCGTACCTCACAACATGGCAAATAAATTGGCAACTTCAGTCACAGAGACACCAGCTACACAGGAACCAACAATTTGCCTTCTTTGAAGCTCAGTAAGCTCTTACATGACTCTATATTACTAGCAGCGCACGCAGTGAATGAAGAAAGTCATGCTTCCCACCTGTTAGCTAGGTGTCTCATCACACAGCGGAAGCAAAAGAATGTTACATCACTTCCGCTTTCAAAGTGAAACATGTTATCCATTTTTCCATTTTTTTTTTGTCTAACCCCTGTGTATTGGAGACAATGCAAGTAACCTGGTTAAAAATTTACTTTAATAGTTTGTAAGAATGACTAAACACAGTTCTTTACTTGACACAATGCAAAGACCAAAATAGTTCATATGAAAATGCATTGATTCACAGTCCATGTTTGCTTATGAGGATTTATATTTTGTTTTTTTAAACCTAATTCTGCTTACCTTATTTGCCAATTTCTTGTTTAGTTCTTCTGCAATGGAGTCATTCAGTTTACGTTCAAACTGCCAAGGAGTTGTCCGTACAGTGTCCACCATTTCAACTAGGACAAACATGGTGGATGGTAGCAAAGACTGCAGATCAAAATAATAAAGGCAAATTACTCTATATGTACAGTATCCCATACAAATCAACATTAGTGTCTATTTAGTAAGAGGTACAAGGACACATACACATGTAACTAATGGCATACCACAAGGCTCTGCACTAGGTCCTGTTCTGTTTAATCTCTCTGTAAGAGATATATCCAAAAGGTTTGATGGGCAAGGTAATTCCTTTTTGCTGATGACACTTCGCTGGTCACAGATAAAATCGAAATTCAGCAGGGACCGGTCGAATTTAAATCCATGTGTGACCGCTTCCACTTGACAGAAGTCAATCTAATGATTGACTTCTGTCAAAGGAGGTTGTTGGAAAATTTATCTTGATCAGCGGCTGCAGCCACTGATAAATGTATTCTGACAGCCGAGAGTACCCATCTCAGTGGGTAGGATTCCTGCACCTTGTGCTTATGGAGGTATCCATTCGTGTTTTCTCCATTCAGCTCTCTGCTTGAGAACAAAAACAAAAAAAACAAAAACACCCATTTATAGCCAGCCTAAATATGCTACTGGGTTGATACTCCTGGAGATGACTGGGATACCCCTAAAACACTGATGGACTAGACTTTGAATGCAACCTGTGGTATTATCAGCAATCCTTGCCTCTATCATTCAGGGTTCAGGGATTTCGTGTGTTCCAATGTGGTCATATGAAGGCATCAATTCACATCTATTAGGCTTCAAGTACACTGCTGCTCCTAAACATGAATTTAGGAGATTTTTGGTGAGTTCAGGAGACACTGAACTCAACTCAATAAAAGCCTATGTGTCCATGTACACATAGGCGTTTACTAGAATTTAGGAGCAGTTTAAACATACCTTGCCCGAACGCAGAAGAATCGCGTTCAGGAAAGGAATGTTTTGGACCAAAAAAAAAAAGAAAATGCTAAACACAGCAAAAAAAACACATGTAAACGCAGCTAAAATCTAGCTGCGTTTAAAGCTTGGGCATTTATCCATGTCAATGGAAAATACTCTGGCCAATCAAATTAATAAATTGGCAAGCGCTAAACACGGTACCGCATTTACATGCGATTTTGCCATGTTTACCACTCTGTTGTCAGGAGAGCATAACATCTAGGGGAGTTCATGTGTATATGAGGCCTTAATCTACATGACCAATGTCATCTGTGTTCCTTATATCAGAATATACCATATATATCCCTGAGGAAAACAAGTGTTCGGAACACATTGGATCTCTCCATATGTGCTTGTCTAAACAAGAGATTCTGTACCTATGTAATATATGGAGAATACAATTGTGTACCGTACCACTAATTATTGATGTTGGACTAAAACAATGCTGTTAAATTTGCCATAGTTCATGTTTTTATCATTTGTGTTTAATAAAGCATTTTGTGATTTGACTTGGTTATACTGCTATATTTGTCTATTAGTGTCCATAAAAGTCCACGCTACATATACTATAAGATATTTGATCTTTTTGGGATGATGGCACTGTAGAGTATGAAGTAGTCCTTGTGGATACTATTCCTTGAGGTGTTTGTGACACGAAACAGGATTTGGCATTGCTGAAATATTGGTCTAAGGAGTGGAAACTGTAGTTCAAAATTTCTAAATGGAAAAAATAATTTTCTACTAGGAGTACAATATTGGGAGTACAGCACTGACCAGAACTAAAAGGAGAAAAAGATTTGGGTGTGCTTATTCTATGGAACTACAAATAAACAGTGTGGCCATCACTCTACTATATATGCTTACATTACAATGTTTTTATTATTAATATTTTTATTGGGGACTGGATGCCTGTGCTAAAGATTAATAATCTCTCTGCAGGTATTCAGATGCTTGCAATAAATGTTTGAATTTAACTTTGAACAATGCCTAGTTGTAATGCAAAAAGAGCCAGTATAATGCATCTGGTAGGTAGGCTTTTTTATCCGAATGTTGTGTGCCTTTTTTACCCACAAATATGGAACATATTATGGGGTGTTCAAGTTGCTGGGGTCACACAATTATATGGCATCTGCTACAAGAACATCCATGAAAATGCAAATAAAGTGGCAAGTCTTTATGGTTATGTGGTAATAAAATAAAAACTACTGGAAATTAAATGTTCTGCTAATTTATAAGCTTTGAAAGGTTAGTTCACCTTTTCACAACATATTAGGTGTTGAACCCCTAGGGAGCTGGGCCACTGCTTTGTGTTGTGGCCTGGACCCGCCAAGGTGCTGCCAGCAGAGAATATATTAACCTTTCGTTGCAACATGCAACCTCGCAAAGCTGGTGAACTGACACGTTTCAGGGGCGTGCCACCTTCTTCAGCTATGCTGACCAACATATGCCATAGCCAGATCTATATCTGAATTAGATGGAGTCAGAGGTCATGTCAAAAGGTCATAAGCCAAAAGACTAAAACTTGCACTATAAATCCATATATAGCCATATCTAAAGATATATACCGACATAGTGTACCATGCTACAAAGTAATGTTTGTTCGTGGAGTGACAGTATAGGCTCACGGTAATGGTAACATCCATGTGTGTGTAATCAGGAGAGCTGTTATGACTGACACTGGAACGCAAGTGTGGAGCCTCCGTGGACCAGAAGTGCATCACCCATTCACTTTAATTGGTCACAGGAAGCGATACGGCAGGGACCAAACGACCACAACAGTGTGGCCCCACCGAGTGGTGTCACTGGTCCGCAGCCGAACGCTAACAGGGCAATCAGCCCTCAAGAGAAGCACCAAAATAAAAATAAAATAGACCATGCAAAAGCATTCGTAGCACACCATCCAAGATTGGTGCTGCAGTAGAAACCACAGGTGGCCCAAAAACAAACATAAGCAAAAAAGTTGAGGAAAAGGGAAACCTTTTGGATACAATCAATACAGCAACTGGACTTGTTCTCTCCGAACATGTTGGTTTGGATGTTCAGGCCCTTGTGCAATAGCTTTTACATCAAGTTTAACATGTATATAAACATATACTCTTTAGATAGCTCACAGGCTTTGCTAAATCATGGAGCTCCGCTTCTTGAGCTGGTGGAAAAAATGATCAAAGGACTCTAAATACAGAGCATCCTTCTTGGTGATAACTGCATATTTAGCATGAGTCTAGCCATTCTTGGTATAAAATGAGGATCAGGTAGAGCCACCCCTAACTGGTATCCTTAGAGTGTAGGATGCACGTCACCACTGGCGTGATACGATTGCACTGTTGTATATACGTCTTGTGTCATTTTCTTCTTTTTTTTTCTTCTCTGTTTTTTTTGTTTTTGTTTTATACAGGGTTCCGGGACGCCACGGTCCGATCGCCAGTGGGAGTAGAAATTGTTGGCTGCTTTATGCTTTTTTTGTTGAGCGTGTTATGCTGATGCCGCCATGGCCTCGCCCCTTTTGAAAAATACATTCACAAAATGTTCAAGGCTTCATTCGCCTCAGAAGCGGGCTAAAGTTTTTCATCACCTCAAATCGCAACAAATTGACGTGGTATGTTTACAAGAGACCAGATTTTCTCAGTACTCCGCTCCACGTTATCTTTCACCTCACTATCCCATCCTTTTACACGGCCTCGGCTCCTGAGAAGCGTTGGGGTGTACTGATAGCTTTCAAACGCAATCTCCCTTTTGTCTGTGCTCGGAAAATAGCGGAGACCACGGGAAGGTATTTGCTTCTGCAAGGCACCCTCTGGGACCAGGAGGTTACATTTGTCTCTTACTATGCTCCTAATCGTATTCAGCATAAATTCTTTTCGCATCTTTGCACCATTGTTTCCCGACACTCCAAGGGTCTGCTTCTTGTTTTGGGAGATTCAAATGTTACCTTGGATTCCACATTGGATAGGCGCAACGCACGGGGGGCGGCCCCTTCTCACTACTTAGTGCTGGAGGAACGTATGCGCTCTCTTGCAGACGGTGGGGCTGGCGGACATCTGGAGGGAACTTCACCCAACTGAGCGTGACTTTACATTCTATTCCAATCCTGACAGTTTTTTGTAGAATTGACCATATATTCATGCATGTTCAGCAGCTTCCCTTGGTCCGGCGCATAACTATTCCCTCCTCACCCTGGTCGGACCATGATCCCTTGGTACTCCTCCTTGCCCTCTCTGGGTCAGAATGGCGCCCTTTTCATTGGCGCATCAATGACTCTTTATTGACCACTCAGACTACCTGCCAACAAATAGAATTTTTCTTACAAAACATACTTCACAGATCGGTCTCTTCGGCTGTGCCCCTATAGGAGGCGCATAAGGCCACGGTGCGGGGTCGTAAAGGTGGTGGGGTTGGTCCGCTCCTGTCAGCACAGAGCACCTTCCGAGTCCTCCCAAACCCCCCTCTCTATCCTTCTCCAAGGCCCACTGCATCCGACTATTCTCCCCAACCCCCCTGAAGATTGCTGTGATATACCGGCCTCCTGGATCCATATCCCGCTTCCTGGATGACTTTTCCTCCTGGCTACCCTTCTTCCTCTCCTCTGAGCTACCCACCATCATCCTTGGGGATTTCCACATCCCTGTCAACCTCGACAACCCGGCCACATCCCATCTCCTCAACTTAACCTCCTCCTTTGCACTTGCACAGTGCATACAATCCACCACCCACTCCGACGGTAATATCCTTGATCTCGTCTTCTCCAACCGCTGCACTCCCCACAACCTCACTAACACCCCCTTCTCTCTCTCTGACCATAACCTGATTACCTTCTCTATCTCCTCGTCCTCCAACGCCTACCCCTCCAAATGTCACACTACTACCAGCCGTAACCGCCGCAACCTTAACCCTGCCCCCCTCCACTCTGCAGCTGATCAACTCCACAACAGCATCCTCCCCGTCCTGCCCCGACTTGGCTATGACTGCCTATAACAACGTGATGTCAACAGCCCTTGACTCTCACTAGCGCCTTTAACCGCACGCAACATCAGACCCCGACCGCTCCAGCCCTGGCAGACTGATCACAACAAAACTCTCAAACTACACAGTCGTGCCCT